CGCACTGAAACGAAGTTCTTCCTTGAAAGTTATCTGTAAAGAATGAATAAATCAGAGTTTGAATCTAAGTAAATCCTTGGTTGCACGTTTATTTATTTTAGAAGTGATTCATCGTCGGAAGATTCAAAATTAAATTACGATTGACATTTACAGTAACGTATGTGGAAACGTTCTTGCGAACTAATTCTCCCAAAAAACAACAAGAGCATCTCTTTACAAGATAAAACTGAGCTCAATCCTCGCAAAGCGTATGCATGAAAACTGCGCTACAACCAAATCTTCGAAAAGTTTATTTGAAAAAAACAACACCCAAAAGTTGTCACTTCGTATGACGCAATATTTATGTTGAACCTTCTGAATGTAATATGCAATTTAAACCAGCTTATGTGTGTTCGGCAGGCAATTCATTCCCAATTAAAAAAATTAAATTTCGGCTGCACCCTGGAGACGTAATCATGAAAAAAATTAAGAATAAAATTTACGCGGATTCTTTATGAACCCATCAGTAGATTCTCTCCTCACCCGATTCACCATCATCGACTCATCTGGCAGCAATCCCGTGACAATAGGTCCACCCGAATTTCCATCTCTCGGGGAATCCCTTTACCCAGTGGTGCGAGGAAATACGTTATACGGCCCACCAGGGACCAAGGGGCTTGGTTTCTCGCCCTGCTGGATTGGATACGTTCACTTGTGACGCTGCGTTCGCCAGATAAAAAAATAAAATGAATGTGTGAAGGAACGGGGGAGAAATGGAGGTTCTTCTATAGACACCCACCGTGCTTTTAGATTCGATAAAATATGGAAGAGATTCCTCTCGAGACGTTTCGTCGCAAATTCCTTCAAATTTCTCGTCTCGTTGCGCTTCTATTTCAGGATTACTCCGCGAGTCTGTCGCATTAGTTTCGATGAACTTCTTTACGATCTCACTCCCGAATATTTTTTTTTTGCGTTTACAATAGTCTGTTGCCATGATTTTTTTCGAAGGTTCTGTTAAAACATCAATTTGCTCCAATTTGCTTGCTTCATTTATAAACGTAAAAATTACTGCATAATCATTCTGAAGTCGACTGGGAGCAAGCATTTCAGAACGTGAGGCCACAAGCGACGAATCTTCGGTCAATTCATCGCTGAAGACAGCTCAGAGTTATAGGAAATCTCTGTGCAGATGACAACTCGCATTGGACCTTCCTCTATTCCTTGAAGTTTGAGAAAAATCTCTTCCACACTTGAGGTTTTTCCGATACACAATAAATCACGATGAAATTGACGCCCCAGAACTTCTGAAGATTATGCATTTCATGATTTAGAGCAGTGTTCCCCAACCTTCTTGGACCCGCAGACCGGCAAAATTTTAATACAATTTTTCGCAGACCAGCAAATTCCACAAAAAAAATTCTCCGGAGTGACACAATTTCATAAAATTTTGCACTCACAAAAGTTTTGCTTGAAAGATTTCTTGGCAAGTATTTAAAAGTTTCTGATTTTTGCAAAAATTGAGTTGAGCACCAATGAAGCAACTACAGCTAAATATCATCAAAAAATTAGAAATTTGGGCTTGAAGAAAGGTTCCTCAAAATGAAAAAAAAATTAAATTACTCGAATTTTTTTCAGCAGTTTAAAATTTGTCACAGGTGCTTAAAGAAAAGCCAACTTTTATTTTCATTAGATAATTTCAACTGCCATTTCTAGTCCGTCCAAAATTGTAGGTGAAGATAACAGAAATTCATCCTCACTTTTGATACCAAACAGATATTATGATGATTTCCCGCGGACGAGCAAAAACCTTCTGCGGACCGTCGCCGGTCCGCGGACCACGGATTGAGGAACACTGATTTGGAGGACGTTAAAAAAATAATTTTTCATGAATCCAGAAGCTGGTGCAGATTTGGGAGGAAGCGGAAGGATTTCCGGGGATACAGATAAAGCCTTTCGCTTCTGGGCGACTGGGTTTGAATTTATTTTTGTACGCACCATAGAGCCTGACGCTCAATTTCCCCCTTGCGGACTCAGTGCGATTCCTGTGTCAAGTTCTGGTGCATCCATACTGGGAGTCACGTTTTCTTCATATGGATCACAATGTTTCACGTGACATTGTATGTTCAGAGCGCTTCGTAGAAATACCGTAGCAGAAGCATGGTAATATCATCGAGAGTTTGCATCGCATAAGTTCCAAGAAAAAAAAAAGAGGAAATATTATTGCGTTTCGTCCTTCGGACAGCGAAAAACTTTTTCTACCCTATACCAAGTGAGATTCCTTCACTTTCTGCATCCATTTCTCCATCTTTGCGAGAAAATCGTGTGACCCCTATGTACAACGAGGAAACGCCTGATTCCTGGAAGCTTATGCAATAAATCACGACAGACAAATTCACCCGATTTTTTGTTTTTCCGAAGCACTTGGCTTTATTTCTTCGAGGAAACATGGTCTCTTCCGCCAGGAAAAATCTTGGACTTCCGACAAGAGCGAGAAAAAGCTACGCGAAAAAAATAAATAAATTGGGGAACATTGCGCAGTCATTCAAAAATCACAGGTGGGGGGGAAATACGAGCCGAAAAACTTGAGATTTCTTTCATCGCATCACTCAAGGTTTCCCTTGAAAAAAAAAACAATCGAATCATCATCGTCAAACCGCGAAAAACGCACATTCACACCGCTGATTGGATGTCTGATTTCCGCGAACAGTTACGTCTTCAAAGTTTCACACAGTATCTAATTAGATATTCAAGTAGCGGATTGTAATAGGTTATAAGGGATTAGGTAAGCCTGCTGACAGTCCGAATTATTTCCTGATTTCCAAATTTCTAAAATATCGAATTTTTCACGTACCCGATTTCCATCTGAGCAACCAAAAATGGTTGCTCAGAAATAATTTCGGAAAAGGAAATGGTTTTGGAAACATTTCCAAAAATCCACGCAGACCTTCTTTAGTGATACCCCTAAACCATCAATGATCTGAATTTGGCATGGAGGTAGTAATTTCAAGGTTGAAGAAGAGTGAGTTTTCAAGCAGCTATCTGTGGAATCACGGAATTTCCCCATCATCAAAAATTATATAACAATGCAACATTTTAACTTTAAACTAAAAAGTAAAATATTTGTGTGAAACAAGGCTGTATTGATGGAAAAAATTAGTTAACCAAAGAACTGAGAAAACATTTTCGTTTCATTTTTTATGCGCGCGGAAGTTAGACATCCATCATCGTAGTCACATACAGCATTGTTCCAATTGCACCGAACTCGCGCGGAAAATTCTGCAACACTCTTAATAAGAAAATCGACAGGGACAAAAACAAAGAAGGGGGCGAGGGAACAAAGATAGGAATGAATAGAAGACCACGACCACGGTGATATCAAGCAATCACCAATCACGGTCGAACTCGAGACCATCAATTCCATTGCGGCGAGAGGCAGCGAGCGATTTCCCGCTGTTGCACTCGTCGCCAGCAGTTGGGAAGAGATTCCCTACTCGGAAAAAATCACCGGCGTGTTCCCACCTCGCTCCGAGCTACCGGAGACAGCACATTATCGACCACTGATCCCATCGCTCAAACTCTGGTTACCATTGCTGACAAACAGAAGCACACAATAATTGAAAAAAAATAACAATAGAAAAACGGCACAAATCTCCCGCTCCCAGAAGCAGGTGACCGAGAAGAGTATAACCGCGGAGACCCGAAATAAAAAGCACGGTCGCTTATCGCTTCGCCATAAACCACTTTTCAAATTTTACCCGTACAGATAGATTGGAAAAAAATGGACAGGTACCAGCACTTCTTTACACTTATCATCGGGGAATTTTAATTATTCTTTGTTTCTTGGTGATCCGAAAAATTCGATGTATCTTTTCTGTCTCCTACGATGAAGAGATGCCATATTTTGCGAAAAAGGTGGCTCAAAATATTTATGTTTTTCTCCCGAGGGAAAGAGATATTACAAAGTTTTTCTCATGATAATCGATTTCCAGAGTTAATGTAAAAAGCAAAATCAGCGCAGGCAGGAGAATAAAAAAATGCAAATCTTTCAAAATGAATGAACGTTGCCAAAATCTTTTCCTTCCCAGTGCTCAGTATTCCAAGAATGTTTTTGCTTTCAGCTTTTCGCAATTTCTTTCCTCTTTGAAAATTTAGAAGAAAAGATTTCAAGTGCTGTATCTCAGTTATGGACTTCTAAAAAAAAATGTTTCCACTTTCAAGGACAATAATTTCTGCTGGAAAATGACGTTTTGCTTCATGAAATGTTTTTTCTACATCCAACAAAGTATGAAAAATACTGCCTTTTTGAAATCAGACGACTGCTGTATTCAAAAAAAAATTCCCGAACATGCATTGAAAATGCTCGCTTGACCTTGACTCAATCTATTTAAAGCTGAGGGAATTCATTCGAAAGTTGTGAAGTTAAATTAATTTCGAATCAAATGAATGTGCCACATGCTACAGCGCATTGCATAGGATCTAAAGTTATGAATACATGCATGAGAAAATTAACAGGTTTTTTCCAGCCAAAAAGAATGCGTTGCATCCATAATTCAGAAATTTTCATATTTGGAGTTTCCCCTCAAATCACCGCCAAAAATCGTGAGCCAATCTTTTTAATCGCGGACAAAATTACAGTACTCCCTTTTAGGACAACTGTAGTCCGTGAAAAATCTAAGTGAGCAATAGAGTGGAAATAAAACTCAGATCCTCTCTTATACAGCACATAGGGTATTCTGGCTGCTTTTTTCGTACTTTCTGGGTAACATCTGAGGCATATTCGCATATACTGTACAAAGTTTCTTAAGGAGTCGAAAACTGCAATGGACGAGAATATTCGCAGATCGCCTCTCCATCTCACAATAAAAGAAATATAAAAAAACCACTGTTCTCCTCCTCTTGTATTCAATGTTTTTTTTTCGGTTTTTCAGAGATCGGCTCCGTTGTCTGGATCCAGACACTTATTGAGCCTCGGATATACCAGAGGAGCCCACATGCACTTCTACAGCACCACGAACAGAAGCTCAGAGTTTGCACCGCAAAAGTTTCGAGAAGGCCTTGCGGAACTCCTCGTTGAAGATGGTGTAAATGACCGGGTTGAGAGCGGAGTTGATATAACCGAGCCAGGTGATGAACTGGGCCAAGTACTCATCCGGCACCACGTTCAGGAACGGGCACACGACGTACATAAGGAAGAACGGGAGCCAACACACCACGAACACGCCCATGATGATACCGAGCGTCCGCGCGGCTTTCCGCTCTTTGCTCAACGAAATTTTTTGCTTCTGCTCTATGAAATGATAGACGCTCGTTGGCCGCTTCTGCTGTCCATCGCCGGTGGTGTTATTGTTGCTGGCGGCTGTCTGTGCCATGTTGCGAGCAGCAGCCGTGAGAGCCGGATGCGAAGAACATCCGTTCTCCAATCCTTCCTCGAGTGACGAGTGTCTGCGAACGTGACTAGTGTCGACGTGTTCATCAGAACCCGAGCTTTTTCGTCCCTTCGCGCGTCGCTTTTGCAAAGGCAGGGATGCCGACGCGGTTTTCGGCAGCTGAGACGCCTTGGCTCTGCGCCGCAGTCTCGTGCGCATCGCGAGATAGATCTTCAGGTACACCACACTCATTATGACCAAGGGTATGAAGAAAGACCCGGAAGATGAGTAGATTATGTATCCCTTTTCCTGCGTCAACGTGCACGGCGTGTTTTCGTCGAAGTTCTCGGGCCAGTCGTTCCAGCCGATGAGCGGCGGAGCGCAGATGATGAGACTAAGCACCCATACTCCGGCTATCATCCAAGACACGCGCTTGAGAGTTCGCTTCTGCTGGTAGTTGATAGGGTCTGTGATGGCCCAGTAGCGATCCAAGGCAATAGCGCAGAGATTCAAGATGGACGCCGTGCAGCACATGACGTCGCAGGTGAGCCACATCTCGCAGACGATGATGCCGAAGATCCACTTGCCGTCGAGGATGAGGTAGGCGATGTTGAACGGGAGCACGAGCAGGGCGACTGTCAGGTCCGCGGCAGCTAAAGACACTATGAAGAAGTTCTGTACCATTCGCAGGGGCTTGTAGGTGAACACGGACAGGATGACGAGCACGTTGCCGACGATTGTGATGAGCGTGATGACTGCGAGGATGATGATCATGAGCACTTCGTGCCACGGGAGAGCACGCGTGGACTTGAAGCCCAGTGTGTCGTTGACAGGGTGGGTCTCGTTGCCCAGTATGGACAGCAGTTGGTCCTCGATGCGCTGCTCTTCCACTTCAAGGATGTAGTCCACCTCTCGGAGCATTTCTTCAGCCATTTCATCTGTACGTGAGATAAGACATGACAGACAAACTTCAAAGTCAATTCATCCGCACAAACTGTAAATGATTCCAAGAATTTTCAAGTGTATTATTGCTGCGAATACTCCGCGAGATTTACCGCGAACGATTCGCCACCGACGCGTGCATTTTTAATGCCAACTTGTAAGGGGTGAAGGCATCTGCAGTTTTTTTTTCCTGTGGACTGGCGCCAGTCCAAAGAAGTTTTTTGGCAGTCCGTGGTAAATTTTTTCAGCATAATAAATTTATCAGAAAAAGCAATAAAGTCTGTTATACTTAGTCAACATTGTGGAAAGACAATGGCAGTTGCAATTATCTAATGAACAATATAAAAGTTGTCTTTTCTCCTATCAACATTTCAGACAAATTTTCACCTGCTGAAGCAAATTATTTTAATTTTTCATCCCAAGAAACCTGTTTTTCAAGCCCACCTTCCTAATTTTTAAGACATCCCGCTGAATCTGCTTCATTGGTTCATGATTAAAAAACAAGTAGAAATTTTTTAAATACTTGCTTTGAAGTCTTGAAAAATGTTTTTGAGTCCGCAAACAAGATTTGAAACTTTGACAGTCGGTAAAACAATTTATGGAAATTTGTTGGTCTATCGGCCCAAAAAGGTTGGGGAGCATTGTTCTAGATTACAGTGGGTTTCTTTGATATGCTTGAAATTCCCTGCAGATTTTTCCCTCTTTTTTCAATCAATTTCTGGTAGAAAGTGTTTCGCATGTCACGTAAGGAAACAGCAATTTTTTTTTCTACTGCTGATCAGTGGAAAATAATTCTAACGGTGGGAGGAAAAATAAGTGCTGAAATGTAGGACACCAGCATGGAAAATGTAGATTGGAACAGGGTTAGGAAATATCCGTAGCAGTTCAAAAACAGATAATTTGTATGTTGGTGTTAATTCTTGACTTCGGTGCAACGTTTGAATATCATTTTCTTAAATTGAGAGTGTTTGCTTGTGGAGTACGCTTACCCTTCTTTCCCAAATTACGTTCAACGAAAAAAGGTGGTGCACGTCGGTATTGTACAATTTTCGACAGAAATCTCTTCCTAGGTTTTAATTTTCTAGCATTTTGTCAAGTCGTATGGTCGGGGTGCTCGTCAAACAAGTACATTCACGCAGTTCAGTAATCTACGGATATCCATCAAGGGTAAATTGCGGTTGTCAGGAACATACCCTAACAAACAACCACTCAGCACGTGGCTCTCAGAAGCGCCCACAGCAGGGTTAATTCCCCCAAGCAAAACAAGTCGTTTACAAAGAACGGGGTAGAAAAAGGGTATTCAACGCTTCAAATCAGACGCCCACCGAAATTCCTAAAGGTGCCTTCCGCATTTCCTTCTCCCGCTGAGTTCCCGCAAATGGGGAGGTCGTTTCCGTGTCCCAACACCATCACAGCAGGAACTATAGAAGCATATAGAGGCAGAGGGAATCGTTCCCTGCTGTTCTGTTATGGTTGTCGGGGTGAATTATGTGCAACGGGGTCATTAAGACACCGGACGAGATTGTGCTCTCTGGCCCTATCCCTGCGGTGGGTGGCCGTAGTTATAAATCTTCGTCGAGTGCGCGAACCCCTGACCTCCGAGGAGAACCCGGCAGCAGCACCATCACCTAGCCGTCAAGTGGAGCCACTCGGAAGGATCTTCGTTGTTAATGGAAATTCACGTCTAGATTCCGAGGAGCATGTTTACGATCCCTCCGAACGCACCTCTTGTGATTATTTTCCCCGGACGCCCGATAGTGATTCAAGTCCCCCGGGGAAAATGAAATATTCACGCACAACCAACGCGAATTGAGAATGCTTTCCCGAAAAATAATGATCCCACCTTTGTGAATCGTACTTCACTTCCTGAAGTCAATTTCTCCACGATGAAGAATACTCTAGAGGTACAATAAAATTTCCGATGATCAAATGAGGGGCTTTTGCCTGCATGATCAATCATGACTTCAGTATAAATAGAGGTAAAATTGCATTTTAATCGATGAAACGTAAGTCAGGTCAAGGATGGATGACCTGACATTTTATCACTAATGTCAGCAGAAATTTTGAACTGTATCAGCAAATTGCTGGTCATTGAGAAAAAAATTAAAGTGGAGAAGTTGAACAAATATTCAGGCTACTTTATCGACCTTCGGGCGCGGGTGCGGCTAATCCATTCCAAGGTTCATGTAAACACGAATCTATGTCAAGTTGTAGAACTGCAGACCTTGGTTCACATTTAATATGTACTGTAGTAAAAAAAGAAGCCATTCAAATTTAAATATATACATATTAAAATGTGTGTGTGCAAATAAGTCTGCAAAGCAGGGCTATTATCTAATTACCCTCATAAATCATGCGGAAGAACGACTGCGATGTTCGGCATTTTCAGTCTGAACAAAAGTACGTTAAAGCGCCAATAAAAGATAATAATTGTTGCTACTCCCGGAAGATGGTTTAGGCAATTAGCAAAAAGACAAGAAAGATTCCATCTTAATTCGTGTAAATAGGAATGACATTGATATAAATCCCTTTGACGGTAATTATTTGTGAGTGGTTACTGCAGTGAGACTGTGAAGCCGAAATTTGTCGACGGAAATGAGCAGATATTCTTTGGCAATGTCTCATCAGATTATTCATAAATGGGGGAATATTAGACATGAGCATATAAACTTCACCATCAGATATTCAGATCATAACTGTGTAGATTATGTATTTCATACCACCTGAGATAATAAAATCCCTATCGTCTTCGTCACTGAAAGAAAAGGATTGTGCACACGGGCATACGACCCATCATCAAGCTCAAGACATATTAATTAAACCATCTGATACATTTTGTTCCATGCACTTTCTTCAGTTTTCTTGAAGCATGAAGCCCAGTAAGAGAATATTAGAATGGTATGTTCTTTTCAGAAGGTGGGAAAATTGCTGGATAAATAAATTAGGTCTTTCTGTTGACTATTCTTCCTTTAGTAAAACAGGGAAATATATAGAATCTATCTTAGAATAGGATTACTCAATCGATATTGCTAAATGAGACGAAATCGAACATTTAATTTTCGTTCGGAAACTGCTCAATTATAAATTCAAGTGGATCAGCGTAACATTATTTATTTTACTCGACATCAATCTGTCCAATCACGAAGAATTATTAGTTTTTTAACCCGAGCATTCCGAGAATGCTTAGAATACCGTATTTTTACAATTGAAAATCCGGCAGCTGTCATTGCTTCATATAACATTTGCTACCCTAAATTTACAGCATAACCGCAATCTGATCATAATGGGTGTCTCATCCAAGCTTCTATAGAATCGCCTGATCGCTTCCTGCCGCATCATGAAATTTGAATTGACAAGAGACAAATAATTGTCTTTAACCGACGAAAAATGGTGCCGATTTCATGACGCCGTGAATCACATGGAAGGACGCTCGCATAAAAAGCATACCGCAGAAGCATAATAATGTAATTTACTGAATTCCGTTCGGTCGGGTCTGAAAAAAACTGATGGGGAAAAAAGGAAATAGCGATCGACCTCTCATCACAGGTCAGGGGGCCATGAAAGTTTCGGGCCGAAGATTGAAGTCGCTCCGGCCATGCGAGTTAATCGCGTGCAAATTGCATTCCGGAAAGTTATCCATTCATGAATATTGCCGGCACGGAATCGTGTGAGTAAAACTTTTTGATAGGGACCTGCCCAACAGGGCGCAATGATTGAACGTGATCTTCGCGACATGATTTAATTTCATCATGAGTGATTTCGCAGGAAGCGATTCGCTCCACTAAAAAAATACTTCTCGATTTTATTCCTCTTATTAGGAATGAACTAAAATGTATGACGTATTTTCGCGAGGATCAGCAATTCCGGAAGCATCAAGCTCTTGAGTAAGATGTTTCATGCTCCAATAGGCCCTTATTAGTACGAAAATTTCAGGCAGTTGCGCTCATCCTGTTTTAACATTGCTTTAATTAGGAAGGATCAATTTTTGAGAAGGGAAAAGGTTTCAGCATATTCCGGGAAACAACAAGTGAGATTTTCATCAGAGGAAGATACGTTCTTCGCATTTTCCTGACAAGATTTCGTGAGTGGGGCTAGTGAAGTGGCAGGAAATTGGTGACATCCTCATGACAGCAAGTTTTGCCAGTAGAATGCAGATAAATGGAGGGAATACATTGCGGCAATAAAACAAAGTCAACTGTGAATAAATCAGTTCCTATTCACAGTGGATGAAACGTGCTGAAGTTTTCCCTGAAGAAACGAAACAGTTTATTTATTTTTCTTTTTGGGATGGTGCGTTTATTTATAAAATTATTTCACCTTCATTTGACCCAAATTCCGTAATCATAGGTTCAAAGCTTCGCAAATATGTATTTTTTTAGGGGGAGGGATTTGGTAGATCATGAATCGCCCTTATGCGGAGTATACGGTACACCCTTTGGCTGATTGAACGCGAAGATAAATCCCATGACACAGGGTCAAAACTATCGTCGTTTTTCTGAAAATTTTGTGAATCTTCAGAATATCGTCAAGAGCTTTGAGAGCAGTAACCAGAGCTGGACGTGCCACGAATTTCTGTCAACGCCTAACATTACCCTTCCAACTCGTCCCACACTTCGGGATTTGAAGAGGCACACAGACGGAATCTCATGAATTTCTGAAGACCAAGTTATGGAGAGATAAGAAAGGTGTATAATCCTGTTCAACTAAGACTGGTATTTCATTTCCTTTTTTTTTTCCTCGCCAGCAAACTCGCGGTTGAATTTTTGAGTAGCGCAAGGGATTCGATTTGAAACCCTCCTGGATTCGACAGTTAATTGAATCAGGGGAGGATTCTGTAGAAAAGTTCAATACTAATAAATCAATCTATCGCTAAAAATGTTTGCCTCCTAAGCAACCATTTCATTTCAACTATGAAATAAAAATGAAAGGGAAGGAGAGTTAACTTTGTGGAAGTTCGTTGAGTTCGTGTCCGGTAAAAAGGAACTTCGCTG